TTAAATTCACCTGTCCGATTTTGATTCAGGAAGCTCGTTTGTCCCTGATGATATTGGTCTAGGTCAAAGGGTACACAGTAAAGACGGGAAAATACAACCTTTTAAGTGTTAATCAAACACACATAAGACACAAATTACAATGACGTAGTTAATATTCCAATGAACTGTTTCTGGACAAATGTCAGACTGGCCTGTTCTATTATTCGTCAGCATAACAAAAAGTGTTGTTTAACAATTGATTGAGGTAGGTTGTTTGTTCTTCAAAAGCCCAGGGTGCCGTTGTACAAAACAACCTTAGCGCTAAGGCTACCTTAAGTCTATGTTAAAGTATGGGAGTTACGGTCACCTTAGCGCTAAGATCGCTTTGTACAACGGCACCCAGGGCTGTTGCATAAAACAGCCTTGGTGCTTGGACCTTTATGGGCCTGTGGTTAAGAATTGGATCGATTCAGACTTACGTTCACCTTAGCGATAAGACAACTTAATGCAATGGGCCTCTTGGTCGGTTCAATGGCTATAAGGCAACTGGAAATGATAATATCGTGAAAGAAGCGACCCTTGTAATAAAATTTAAAGTACTGGACCCGTTTGAATCAAACTTTAATGAAGCATTAAGTAATGTAGCATTACATTCTGCTGTACTATCGTTTTAATGGCGTCGTGTTGTCATAAGCGTCATTAACGTAATGAAGGTCCTTGGGTATCATTAGAGCGTCATTAAACTTCCTGGAAAAGTGAACGTTGCGACAGAATTTCGTTTGCGCCGCACTGGATCTACCTACAGCTATAAAATTACACAGAAATGTAGAGTATTAAATGTAGTATCTCATGGTATAAACTCAGTTTGAAAAGTAGACACTGCTGCAAATGTTACTCCTAATTTTGTTATGCGTTAAAATAGTAAATTTCTCTGCTTTTTATCGAGCACTGATAAAAGTACTGTGCTACTATATTTTCAATTGGGCATCTTTACGGAAAGTGTGAGCGAATAAAATTCTGCCTGATACCTGAACGAAATAGGTATGTAATAAATTGGTTTGTGTGTGAGAAAGTAAGAATATTTATGGATAACAACTTCTTTATTATATATGATGCGACGTTTCGGTATGGATTCTTATACCGTTGTCAAGCAAGAGTGAAGTACTACAGCACAGACCAGGCTTATATACATGAACAGGGATTAAGTAATAACAACATGTAGGACTGAATGAGGGGGATTAACAATAACAACAAGGCACGGTGGCCATAATGTAGTGACAATAGGAAGCCAATGGTGGTTGATGTAAAAAACAAAATATACATGCTGATGAGATTAATTAACAATGATGGCTGAGGTGCTCTAATCTGTTGTTTTTATGAGATCATTGTATGCAGAAGGGATGAGATATCCCTGGTCTCTGTTGATTGAGGGCTTGTGTCTCCGGATTTGAACTGCTTCTGCAAGTTTCCTTTTGGTGAAGTCCTGGTGGTTTTTGGATAATATGTCCACATTGTCCCAAATTATGTTGTGATTGGGGCAGTTGATGATGTGGTCTGATAATGCCGATTTTCTATCAGATTTAGTGGTAGATGATAAGTGTTCTTTGATTCGGATATTTATGGGCCGGGAGGTTTCGCCTACATAGGCCTCGCCACAGTCACAGTTGATTTTATAGACAACACCTTTGGGTTGATGTTGTCGTTTAGAGGTGTTCCTGCCATTCGCTTTCAGTAGGGTTTTTAGTGGTGTAGAGCTGGTAAAGTAGGTTTCGATGCCTGCTTCTCGCTTGAGGAGACGGCTGATGTGGTGAGAGGTTTTCCCTATGAAGGGGGAGGGAGATACGAATAGGTGCTGGTTCAGGTTTGTTGGAGGCCGGTTTTCTTGTTGGGTGGAGTGTGGTGCTGATAATTTTATCGACTAGTTTCGACGGGTAGTGGTTGAACTTGGTGAAAACATGGCGGAGGTGCTGTATTTCTGTAGTGGGACTGGTGGAGGAAAGGTTGATGGCTCGTCTGGTGAGGGTGGAGATAATGCCAGTTTTGGTTCTCAAAGGGTGGTTGGAGTCAAAATGAATGTATTGGTCGGAGTGGGTTGGCTTTCTATAGACACTGGTACGGATCTTGTTGGCTGGACAGAGGGGAGCCCATGGGCAGGCCGTGGATTTGTTCATAGTAGTCGTCTCCCCAGGTGAAGTAAGTGGAGGTGATGCAGGCAGAGGTGAGGGCAATGATGGAGTCAGTGGTGAGGTTGGTGTCAAGGGGAGTTTCTAATTCAGAGATGCGTTGGCGGAGGATTTGGAGAGTTTCTTCTATGGGGACACTTGTGAAGAGGTCCACAACATCGTAACTCAGGATCTGGTCTGCTTCAGTTATTTTGAGGAGTTTGTTACAGAAATCCGTCGAGTCAGAGATGTAGGAGTCCGCTGTTTTACCGAGTGGGGCAAGGATTTCCGTTAGGTGTTGGGCGGTACTGTAGAACACAGTGTCTCTGGAGCACACAAGCAGTCTGGCCTTGGGTGGGGTCTTGTGGATTTTTATCGTGGCTCTGGCATACGGTGGCTGTGGGTTAGATGTGGCGTGCTAGTGTGCTTACGTATAACGTTATCGATCAATCTTAAAAGTGACTCGCAATATGTGTTGAAAATGGATTTTCTTCTATAACGTCAAATGGCTACAGAAAGGTCATACGCTTTAAAGGATAAGGGGTCATCACTCCGGTATGCTTAATACTAAGGCATTGTGACTCAGATCATTTGGAGAGAATTTGCTGTGAATAAGGACATTACATTTTCGTGATGTTTTGTTCACGGAATTAACGCAAACAACGATACTCAAAACATTTGTGACAAACGCGCTCCTGGCCAATGATTATATGCCATTGTTTTGTCTTTTACATAACATAAACAAATCAATGAACAAGACATATCCTTTCAAAACGTGTGCATATATACGTTTCATGAAATGTTCTCCGTGATTTTGCGTCTCGCATGGCGTAACGCAGCACATGAATATATCAAATTTTTGTATTGTACCTGTTTTTATTTTTCTAGTTCTTGCTACGATACTCTTTACGTGCATATTCTAAAAATATTGAGTTAATGCATGCTACGAATAGACAAACTGATGTCCAGCAACTTGAGAAATTGTTGCCCAGTATAAAATTTGATTTTTGCTTTGTTTACATTTCTAGCAAGCGCTGTGGTATGAGCACAACGTTCCGTTTTCACACCCAATATGTTTCGGTTATTTTCTAGACACTTGGTTTTAGTGACAAAGACCATTTGTAAGTTGATTCTAAAATGTATGAGGAATTCAGCGATGCATTTGTCACAACTGAATATGAAATATACGTGATGTAATATGACCGGCCTTAGCGAAACCTGATTTGGTAAACCCTATCCAATATGGCGGAAAGCTCACTTCCGCGTTTGTGTCCGTGTATTTTCCAAAACATCCCAACCTAGGTTTATCGGCAACGTTTCAGAATTATTTAGATATGTTTCTTAACAGCAGTCGAAATGTTTGTTTTTGTTCCGAGGTTTAGCCGTAAAGATGCAATTTTGACAGACGACCGAGAGTAACGCTTTCGTGTTTACGTCGCGGAATTGTGGGAAATGTTTAGGGGAATCAACGAATTGAATGAAAATATTTACATTAGGACGTCATTAGATAATGATACGCTAATAAGTGTTTCATACAACCTTTTTAAACGTTGCCTTTAACTAAAGATGCATTAAGGATTTAATGTATCATTAGGGTTTAATGTTGACATTAGTTAATGAAGCAATGATACAACCGGATCCAGGTATACTGTCTGAAAAAAAAGAAACGCAAAAGCGTTTTTCAGATGTTATACTTTATGTAATTGGTAAAAATCAACAGGCAACAGTAAATTGTTCACATTTGACACAAGCAATTGCCACTGACCGAGTTCTATCATGGCGCACACGAAACTATCGAATAGGTCATTTGTTTTCAATATCTGTTATCACCTTGAGGCCCATGGCAGTGCCTGGTTCCTCAAAACGCCGTTGTAAGTCTTGCCCTGTCAGGTCGGGGCGTTGTCGTGTTGAAAAATGACGTTTGCCTTGTTGCATAATGGGAAGGACGTGTGATCTACGAATTTCATCGTTGTGCCGTTAAATTGCATTCATCATGTACCGAGTCTGTTGTGCCGGTATGGGAGGTCCACATCATTACATTTTCTGCATGCAGTTTCTGTCTTCTGTCTGTACTTGTCACCAAACTAAACACGTCTTCCATCGCTGTTGTGGCCGTGCAGTCAGAAGGAGGGTTGAAGTTCATCACATCTGAAATATGAAATCCGACGCAATTTTGGTATTAAATTGCTGCAGCTTGGTGAGCCGATCAACCCGTAGGAACCTTTCCTGCGCTACACTTGTGACACGTGGTTGATCGTTTCTGGGTAGGTTACGTGTTCATCTGATAACGGTTCCTGAATCTTGTAAATGCTTTTTGGCAATACTTGGAGAAACCTGACTACGGCCGATGACGTTGTTGTGCTGAGCTTGTCAGTCTTCGTTTATTTTGTACTTTTCACTTTACAATTGGGATGACAGACAAACAAAAAGTCATCGTTTTCATAGCCCAACAATTCTTGTTGCGCGTTTATTCTAAGTTGGTGTTTAGCTGCTACTAATTTGCGTTTCCCCCACTTTTTCGGTATCTGTGTGACCGTACTTCATCACTCCCTATGCATGCACACACGAGAAATGCATTCTGGATGAATATGAGCAAAACTTAGATATTTCCAATTTTTCTACTTTTGTGTTTCTTTCTTTGCAGAGTATATTATCAAGTATATTGGCTGGCAAACTAAGATGAAAATGTATGTGATTATCCTTATCATTATAATATTGTGCTGATAAAGGAACATGGGTTGCATATGTTCAACTGTTACAATTAAACTTCATTTCATCGCATCTTCATCAGTAGTTAATAAAGGCAATACTCATTGAGAGCTTTGTTTTTGGTTTCTTTCAGCGACATTTTGGTAAATCATGGCTGAATTTGCAGGTAACTAAGATTTTATTCCTTGAACCTTAGACTGTTTATGGATATCTAGTCGTATATATTTTTGAAACTGACGTTTGATTTCCCACCAACGATGACCGCACTGTTTTTCTAATACCTATTATCTTATAGACGTACAGTAGGTGAACACATCGGAGTTCAACCCCATATTACATTCATACACATTTTACAGTATTACTCACGTACAACGTAAACGGGTATAAAACTGTAAGCAAGAACCAACGTCAAATTGTGTGAAGCCATTGTCCGGTGTCCTCCGCCTTGATACTGCTGGAATATTGCTAAAAGCGGCGTAAACCCATACTCACACACTCGACCACCTCCTTCGTCACCTACTTGTATTTGTATTGTTTTTGTACACTCAGTGTATAATTCATAGACGATTTGGTCATTAATTTTGCATACAATATCTCAAAAAACCTACATCAATGGTCTATAAATGTATGTTAGTTAAAATGGTGATCTCTGGTTTTGGATTTATGTATATTTGAAATAGCCCTGGCTAGTCGCTTGGGATGAAGGACTACACGAGAGGATGTTGCCTACTCCGAAGTCAGCGGTTTCTCGTCTTCCAAGCTGATGATATATTTGCTCTTAGAGAACCTCCAAGTCAGTGATGTAGCGAAATGTTTAAAAAGCAATTGTTCACATTCATAAATCCTTAAAGTAAGAAACCAATACCGGTCACCGAAACAGAATAATGATTAAGAAGGGCTGATTTTGTTTTGTATATATATCCAAAAGGTCATGAGCATATGGCCAATACATAAACCCTCAAACCCCATGAAAACAGAGAGCACCTCCACACACACACACACACACACACACACACACACACTTCTCCAACCCCAAAAAAGGAAAAAATCAGAACAAAAAAGAAGCAAAGAACAGAACCTCAACAAATTCAGGAAAGCTCTGTTTCCATTCCCTGATTACATAAGAGTGAGTGACTGAGTTTAGTTTTACGCCTTACTCAGCATATTCCAACTATATAGCGGCGGTATGTTAATACCAAATTTGGACCAGACAATCCAGTGATCAACAGCATGAGCATCGATGTGCGCAATTGGTAACCGATGACATGTGTCAACCAAGCCAGCGAGCCTGACCACCCGATCCCGTTAGTCGCCTCTTACGTCAAGCATGGGTTACTGAAGCATGGGTCTAACCCGGACCTTTAAGGGTGATTACATAAGAGATTTTGTCCAATCCAGAGGTGTTTATAGTAGTCTCAACAATTTATAAGCTGTATGCCAGGTGCGTCTTGTGTCACGAAGTATCACACCTAACCCGTCTGTCATAGTGGCAAGTCGATTACAATGTTCTTGTTTACTACCTTTGTAAACAAAACCTGTTTGAATTTTAGATTACAAGAAACAACCAATTCCAACTGCTCCCCCGAAACTTCTCCCGAAGCCAGTGCTAGAAGGCGAATCATCTGCTGATGATGGTACGTATTGTTTCGTATGTTAAATAATAATGCGTATAAATGTAGTTTAACGGTTTGTGGCAGGACTTTAATGGTACAATTAATGCATTTAATTTATGCAAAAAGAACACGTTATATACAAATGAATACTGATGCATACATTAATATTTCCCAATTTTCTAAACAACTGCAAATTTGATGATACGACATTAAACAATATTCACTCACTAATTGATTTCCTCATTGTTTTCAGAAATGGATTTTGATAAGGAATTTGAGGCGGGTGTTACACAGGAAGGTAAGTAAACCATATGTAGTGAATTAATTAGGGTAAGTGTTTTCTAACTTAGAAATCGGCAGTGTTCATGTTACATCTTTGCGGCTTGTAAACAAACAAGCGTAACTGAGACGAAACAGTGCTTGATATCATAGCAAAAATGCAGGCTTATACAATAGTAATAATCCACTTTTATAGCGCCATTCAAGGATGAATAACTTGCTCAAAGCGCTATTATTTTTATCCCGGATAACCAAAGCTTCCTCCGAGGCGCTAGACAGTCACATGACTTATCCTACCGGGTACCCATGTTCTGCTGGGTGAAAAGAGACAATTTTCAACAAACTCATTTGCCATAGACCACTTGTGTCACATGTGCTTCGTTGTGGGGGCAGGACTGAAGTCCCAGAAACACTAAGGAGTCAAGCTGCCATACACGGCCACCCATCCAAAACCTCTCCGCTCTCAACTTTGCTTAACTTCAACTGATATATGACTGGGCTCTATGCACAGGTACACACATCACCAATGACATATATTCAACAAAATGAGAGACTTAACAACCCCATTATTGGTAATATTTCTTACGGGGTTGCCTCTATTTTTGTTGTTGTGCTATACTTGGCAACCGACGTGTTAGTCTTTTTTGGTCATAACGCGTTAATAGAAATGTGTGAAACACATAAATCACGGATGCAACATACGGCGCCGTTGAAGATCGCTCTTGAAATACATGGGGCACCGCGCCACGCATTGTTGTGATAAATATGGTGTGGAGGGGGCAGTGTGATGGTTTCCGGAGCATTTTACGCCAATGGTGGAACTGAATTGATTGTCATCCCGGGATTCAGAGAACAAGAGGATTGTTTACACATGACATCGTTTTACCTCATGTTATTTTTAGGAATTTATGTGTACCCTATCTCAATACGAAGTAACCCCCCCCTCTCTCTCTCTCTCTCTCTCCCCCTCTCTCTCTCTCTCTCTTTCTCTCTCTTTCTCAGGCAACATACATGTATTTATATTCTCATTTTCAGAATTTCTGGAGGAGCTTTACAACGGTAGTAGCTATGTAAAAAATGAACGACGCATAATGCTTATTGGAAGAACAGGATCGGGAAAAAGTACTACCGCCAATACCATCCTTGGTAGGAAAGAATTTGAGTCAAAATCGGCCGGTAGTTCAGTCACATCAAAGTGTCAGTTTGGCAATGTCAAGATTGCCAATAGGTGGGTTCTATTGGTCGACACACCAGGGATGTTTGATACATGCGTTTCAAATGAGGACATCTCAAAGGAGATAATGAAATGCACAGCTCTTACTTCCCCTGGCATACACGCTCTCATCTTGGTTATCAGGATTGGGAGATATACAGAAGAAGAAAAGAATACAGTTAAACTGTTTAAGGAAAACTTTGGAGAGGAGCTGACAAAATACATGATGATCATCTTTACCGGGAAAGACGACCTCGAACACGATGGGACCACACAAGAAGCATTTGAGGAAAAATGTCCACCTTCACTTCAGGCTTTGATCTCTGAATGTGGAGAAAGATTACACTATCTGAACAACAGGTCTAGTGAAGAACAAAAGGACACGTTTAGAACGGAGCTGGTAGATGCCATTGACACGATGGTGGAGGAAAATGGTGGAAGGTGTTACACTGCCCATCGATTTCAGAAAGCTGAGGCGATCATGAAGAAGAAAGAAACTGTACTGAAGAAAAGGATTGCATACAAAAGTAGATATAAAAGGGAAAATGTAAAGCAACAGTTAGAACAATTACTCAATAAAGACAACACAAAGCTCGTAAAGATGACAACAACAACCACAGGAAATACAATAGACGTTGCGCAGAAAGCTCTAGCAGTACTAGAGCAGAAATATATGGACCTCAAGCGCGAGTTTGAAAAAGTCAAAGATGAAGTGGACAAGCAGCTGAGAGAGAAAGAGGACGAGTTAAAGAAGCTTAAGGAAGATCGTGAACGACTGGTGGAAGTAGAACAACAGAAGTTGCATGAGGAGAAGCGGAAGGTTGAAGAGGCGAAAAGGTTAAAGGAGGAGATAGACGAGATAGAAATGAAGGACGAAGAAGAGGCAAGATTCCAAGCAAGGAAGGAAATTGAGGAGGAAAAGGGATTCTTTGATGTCTTTCGAAGAGGTTGGAATAGACTGAAAAGCATGTTCACTCGTTCAACCAAGAAATAAGGTTCAACTCCTCACGGTCCAGTCATCGTATCACCTCACCTACTCAACACTGGCCAGCAGTGTGTCGCTGTGCTTGAGTTCTTTGAGTTTGCGCTCGCTGGAGAATGTGATGTCTGCAAATTTTCTTCTCTTTAGTATTAATCTTATACTCTAATAATGCCATATATTGGTTTGGTATATGATATCTCTCACATATCCACTGACATAGTCACATGTTGAAAGTGTTTTAGTAACTATGATTTTCATGCAATAGTGGTGTTTACTAGTAATCTGCAGATATTTATCACGAACGTACAATCATATTACACCTCAATGTACATATCTGCCTGGGAGGAATGTAATTGTTGAACAGTACTTATATGATTTCTTTCCTTGATTGTATCTTGCTGATCAAAATAAAACTGTGAATGTTATTTGCGTTGTCTGTCATTTCTCTATTTACTGGATAAATAATAATAAAATAAAAAATACTTCAGATAACGCCGATCCTGTTGATGTTATGACAGCGAGCCTGATCACCCGATCCCATTAGTCACCTCTTACGGCCTGCATGGGTTTGCTAAAAAACAATTCTAACCAGGATGTTCAGGGGTCTCGCTTTTCGGAAAAGGTATTTGGTTATGACACAAATGTTGGAAGAAAGCCTTAAATGTCACCTTGTTGAACACTGTCACAGGTATGGCGCTAGCGCACCTGGGATTCTAGCACACCTGGGAGACATAATTCATAGGTGTGTCTCAAATGAGTGGGGCACGCGTAGTGAAAGCTACGAGAGATTGCATCTGTCATGGAGCAATTCTGTTACATAGCCGGCATGTGGGCATATTTAAAGTTTGATTCTAAACTATTATGTCACATTACCGTGGTGATTCTTAAAGGTGGAGCGCTGACATTTAGATCATAAAACTGATTTTTCCCACGAAGCAATTCTGTTCTATAGCCTACATGTAAACATTTTAAAATTCTGATATTTTTTAATCATGTTCCAAAGTTTTACGCTTCGTTGATGCTGAAATGTGGATCATTACAGTGCCATTTGCCGCAAAGTCATTGGCCAAGAAGGATTTTATGTCGACGGTGTTGCAACAAGATCACTGTGGTGGAAGAAGACCAATTAAATACTTTTCCTGGGATATCAGCAGGCTGGTTCTAAAATAACACGAGTTGGTTAAGAATAAAATGGAACGATAGAGGTTACTGGTTGTGAAACGTCGTATTAGTAACACACAATCTTTGAACGATGCAATACACAAACTGTATCAATGTAATAAGATTACGCAATGCCATTTAGAAAGTGGTCAAATGTAACATATGTTATATTTAGGATTATACTTTCTTAGTAAAGTACAAATTCTAGTACTTTTTTTAATTGAGCCCCATCCGGAATTCAAACTCACACCCTCAGAGTCAGGCACCTAATCGCCAGCACACAAAGTCAGCCGCCTAACCCACTCAGTTACCGCGACTTCCACAAAAATGGAAGTCGGACAACTGGTAATCTAGACTGCGGGCTTTGTGTACCCCTCTGATAAGTCTTAAAGAACAAATAAACTTTTGTTTTTTGTACTCTTTTAACTATTACATATGAAAGACGTGTGGTTAATCTTAAGCGGAACACCAATTTCGTTCGTAAAAAAAAACTTGTGGTTAATTGAAACCAGCGATTAAAAGTTGCCAAAATGTCACCTGCTTCACTCTCGCCCGCCAACGAAACCACATAGGGGTTTCGTAGCTCTGTCGCCAGAGCACTGCAGCGAACCGGAAGTGACGTTTTATGAGGAAGGATTTTCAGTTAGTTGATAATAAAAAGTATAACAAGCTCGTCATTTTGCTGATTTCTCGACGTCAACGAAGACATGCCGAATCGTTGCGTTGCCGTCAGTTGCTCCTTGGTGTCGGGTGATGGTGTCACCATGCACTGATTTCCACCGGACCCCGTAGTTCGTGCCAAATGGTTATGTTTGTGAGTGCGAAACGAGCGTTGTGGAAGCCTGGAACGATATCTTACTTGTGTTCAGATCGCTTCACGGAAGTTAAAGAATCAAAACTACTTACTAGTTGTAGTAAATTATGTATATGATTGATGATCAAAACGATTTTCCATGACACAACGATTTCTTCCTCGGAAGCGAGATTGTGGTCGAAGTGACAATAATATTGTAAGTAGTGTTATACTCAACTCGCTTCCACGAGAGAAATTGTTACGTTATAAGGTGTCATGCAAAATCATATTGGCCATCGATCAAATACACATTTTACTACCAGCGGATGTTCGCGACAGGGCGTCGCCATTTTTAAAAATCGTGACCTCATGGGTTAAAGTCTGTTAAAGAATTAATGAGATTATGGTTTGTTTTCATCAAGTTAGAAAATCAAAACTACTATCTACTCGTGGTTAAATATGTATTTGAATCATGACCAAAAGGATTTTGCATCATACGACTTGTAACATAACGATTTTTTCCAAGGAAGCGAGGTGGGGGTCGAAGTGACAATACTGCGCGATAAATTTCTTGCTACATTCACGTGGTTAACGTCCACTCACCAGTATGTAGATACTAGTCAATGTACGTCTTTATATTTGGTCTTATAATCCTAATTAGTTTAATATCATACTTATATGCATTTTGAAACTTAATAAAAAGCAGGCGATCTGCTGATACTTATAGTGAATTTATAACGGGACTGTGATGTCTAGACAATGTGAATCATAATTCGCACACACGTCCCAGTGTATGTTGTCTGTCTCATTACACTTCACGGCGAAAACAATGAATTTGTTGAATGCTACGACAAATGAATAAAAACAAAATGCAAATATTAAAATTAAAACAGGAACAATGTCAGGCTATTACCTTGTTCGAGGAATGTATCCATCAATGTCCACAAAACGAGTCATATGCCATTCCTCTGCAGCTGTTCCAAGTGATGTGTCTTGTAACAGTCTAACATGCGAAAAAGTGATATATTGTTTCAGGTTTTTCACCTTGGTGTATAGTCTCATTGGTCACACAAGATAGCACACCTGGCAACTAATTGCGTAATGTCCGCCATTCCTTAAAAAAAGTAATTTAGTTAGCCAATAATGAGCAATCAATCAATGCATTTGCGGTTAATCCTTTGAAAGAAGGACACTGTTTTTACACAGACACTTTACGACAGAGTGTATGCAGCATAGATGAGTAAATCTACATGCATAAACACTACCTTTTGACAAATCCGCTGTGCAAAATAAAACTGTGTAATCATAGCTTTCGGCCGGGAGCCGTGCCAATTAACACTTATCAGAGGGGTACAAAAAGCCCGCAGTCTAGACTACCTGCAGTTGTCCGACTTCCATTTTTGTGGAAGCTGCGGTAGCTGAGCGGGTAAGGCGGCTGACTTTGTGTGCTGGCGATTAGGTGCCTGACTCTGAGTGTTTGAGTTCGAATCCCGGATGGGACTCAACTCAAAAAAGTACTAGAATTTGTACTTTACTAAGAAAGTGTAATCCCAAATATAACATATGTTACAATGTAATAAGAGCACAAAAACAGTTGCGCAGACAGACATATAATAGTTTGCTGAAGAAACATTGTAACAGGAAATTGTAACAAATGCGCACATACGTATCTATGTATGTATATAATAGTTTGCTGAAGACAAATTGTAACATGAGTTTGGAGTATATTGGTAAATGTGACAGTATCGAGCAGGATGATACGAAAATATGAAACTGCACCTTTAATGTGCAGCCTGGCAGCAAGCTCGGAACATCAGCCCTGTGGTACCAACATCAGACATACATGTAATGTAAAGTGTTAATACCACAGCAGGGGCGGATGCAGCTTTTTTTCACCCGAGTTTCAATGGTCATTTAATAAACTTTCAGGACAAAAGGAGGGGTGCGCACCCCTGCACCGCCTTTGGATCCGCCTATGCACATTGAAGTACATTACTAAGCGGGTCTTTTTACAACGCCACTAAATACGAGAAATAAAAGAAGCAGCATTAAAATCACCAGAGCTCCGAGAAACACCACAAAACCAAGCAGATACTTTTCAAGCCTTGATCTCTCAGAGTATTCTCCCTTCGGCTGTGTTTCTGGAAATCTTTTCGGCTCAAGTGTTGGATAGAAACTCGATGTAGTGCTGTTGGGCGGAATATTCAGCTTAAGGATCGAAGCGTCTGGAAGCCGTGCTAGTTTGGATGCGTTTAAGGTGTTGTATTTCAACACCGACGATCCGGTCGAATTCGGGGTTGGCAGCAATCTTGTTCCGTAACGCAGAGTTCGAAGTTCCTCAGTTGTGAAGGTCGATTCCCGAGGTGTGAGGACACTGTCTGTTATTGCCCGAATTTCGTTCACGTACCCGGTAAATTCTGTGTGTGTTCTCAATGGATCTTTTCTCCATATTCTGGAGTATGTTTGTTCTTCTCTCTTCTCCCACACCGGCGAGCTGAGTCCCGTATCCATGTTGTATGGTCAATTCAGAATGTGGATCCACGGTGATAATCCGTCCAATCCAGCCCCCGCTCTGCTTAATCACCTGAGATTACTTCCTGGATTAGCGTTGATGCCATAATCGTATAATCGTACGAATAGCCTAAATAGGGTTTACAACTCAGAGTTCACTGAATGTTAGTGCGTTAGATATGGAATCAGAGAAGGGACATTGTCGCTATGTCGCATTGTCGCCCTCTCAAAAACAAATAAAATGAGGCAAAATAAATCAAAACTCGACACGCGACATTTCGCTCATTTGTCGCATTGTCGCGATGTCGCGTGTCGCGTTTTGGTTAATTTTGCCTAATTTGTATTTGAGAGGGCGACAACGCGACAATGTGACAACGCGACAATGTCCCTTCCAGGACTCCATAGTAAGATGACTGTTAGTCTGATACTGATAGGATTGAATAGCTATCAAATTAGTAAGTGATTGTAGTTTTACGCCCTTTTGGCAATATTCCTGCAATATTACGGCTGGAGACAGCAGAAATGCGCTTCACACATTGTGCCCCTGTGGGGAATCGAAGTCGGATCTTCGGCGTGAATAGCGAACGCTTTAACCACTAGGCTACCCTACCGCCCCCATCAATTCGAAGATTTTAGGTAACGATTTCTTTACCATGACAGCCCGCTACAAGCATATGCTACGATCGTGTCCAGTCAAACTGTCTTTGTATATTCGAAGCTCCTGCTGAGCTGTTGGGGTACCCTAGTGGTTAAAGCTGTCGCTCGTCACGCTGGAGACCCGGGTTCGATTTCCCACATGGGTACAATGTGTGATGCCCTTTTCTGGTGTCCCCCGCTGGGATATTGCTGAAATATTGCTAATAAAAGAGGCGC